CCTCTCTGAAGGATAGCATCCCCAACTTAGGCACTCAAGATTGCCAAAGAATATACAGTTATCTCTTGGTATCCATGGGGAATTGGTTCCAGGACCTCCACAGATACCAAAATCTGTGGATACGCAGTCTCTTATCTTAAGTGACATACTGGGCTGGGCATGGTGGCTCATGCCTGTAATCCTAGCATTTGGGGAGGCCAACGTGAAAGGATGATTGAGTTCAGGGGCTTAAGACTAGACTGGACAACATCGTGAGACCCCTGTCTTTAAAAAGTAATTAAAAGTTAGCTGGATGTGGTGGTGTGCACCTGTGCCCCTGTAGTCCTAGCTACTTGGGAGGCTGAGGTGGGAGGATCACTTGAGCCTGGGAAGTAGAGGTTGCAGTGAGCAACCGGATTGTGCCACTGCACTCCAGCATGGGCGACAGAGTGAGAGTCTGTCTCAAAACAAAACAAAACAAAAAGCCATAGTATTTGCATATAACCTACACACACCCTCTCACATACTTTAAATTATCTTAGGTTACTTATAATACCTAATACAATGCGTATACATTACTCTGTTCTGATGGATTCAAATAGTACTTGGCACACAGCAAATTCAAGTTTTGCTTTTTGGGACTTAGTGGAATTTTTTTTCCAAGTATTTTCCATCCTCATTAGGTTAAATCCAAGATGCAGAACCCACAGATACAGAGGACCAACTATATATATAAATCCACAATTTAAAAAAAAAATCACCAAACACACAAGAGGCAATTGTTAGCAGAAACAACATACAATAGATATAGATCCCTCAAGCCTGTAATCCCAGCACTTTGGGAGGCCGAGACAGGTGGATCACGAGGTCAGGAGATCGAGACCATCCTGGCGAACACAGTGAAACCCCGTCTCTACTAAAACTACAAAAAAAACTAGCCGGGCGAGGTGGTGGGCGCCTGTAGTCCCAGCTACTTGGGAGGCTGAGGCAGGAGAATGGCGGGAACCCGGGAGGCGGAGCTTGCAGTGAGCTGAGATCCGGCCACTGCACTCCAGCCTGGGCGACAGAGCGAGACTCCGTCTCAAAAAAAAAAAAAAAAAAAAGATATAGATCCCTAAGGATAACAGAAATTGTAATTATTAGAATTACAGTAAATGAAATAACTATAACTGAAGCTTTTAAAGAAATAAAAAATGAAATCACAAAAGTGATCAAATCACAAGATATAATTTTTTAAAATAGATCTGGAAAAGAACAACATAGAACTTTTATAAATGAAATAACTTGTTGAAACATAAAATTCAACAAATGAGTTAAACAGCATATTAGACACAGTTGATGAGACAGAGTGAGCTGGAAGATTAATCTGAAGACATTACACAATTTTCAGCACAGAGACAAGCAAATGGAAAATATGAAAGAGAGGTTAAAAGCATAGCAGGTAGAATAAAAGTCCCAGAAAGAGGATAGAGGGAGAAGAGGGAGAGGTAATATTTGAAGAGATAATGGCTGAGAATTTCCAGAGCTGGTGAAATGCATGACTTCACAGACACTGGAAATGTAATATACATCTAATAATGTAAATAAAAGGAAATTCACAGCTAATCACAGTGTGGTGAAACTGCATAACACCAAAGACAGAAATCTTAAAAGCAGCCACATAGAAAAGACATGCCACTCCAAAGGAAGGATATTAGATGACAGGACACTTCTCAAAGCAACAGTGAAAGCTAGAAGACAGGGACGAGCTTCAAAGTTCTGGGAGAAAATAACTGTCACCTAGAATTGTGAACTTAGCAAAACCATCTTCCAAAGCTGATGGTGAAATGGAAACATCTGGATTTTTTTTCAGAGAAAGAAAAGCAAAAAGCATTTACCAACAGAAATCTTTACTGAAGATTGTGCTACAAGAAAAGAGGGAAATTGGCCGGGCGCGGTGGCTCAAGCCTGTAATCCCCAGCACTTTGGGAGGCCGAGACGGGTGGATCACGAGGTCAGGAGATCGAGACCATCCTGGCTACATGGTGAAACCCCGTCTCTACTAAAAAATAACAAAAAACTAGCCCGGGCGATGTGGCGGACGCCTGTAGTCCAGCTACTGGGAGGCTGAGGCAGGAGAATGGCGTGAACCCGGGAGGTGGAGCTTGCAGTGAGCTGAGATCTGGCCACTGCACTCCAGCCTGGGCGACAGAGCAAGACTCCGTCTCAAAAAAAAAAAAAAAAGAAAAGAGGGAAATTATGCCAGAAGGAAGGACTGGCATGCACAAAAGAATAGTAAACAAATCAATTGATAAACAGATAAATCTACACAAATATTATATAAAATAATGACAACAGGCAGGAACAGTAGGAAATAATTCAAAACTGCACCAAAAAGAGAGTATGTAAACCTGTAGGGGAAGATCACAGCCAAAGGGTTCAAAGTCCTCCTATTATTTAGGAGGGTGGTTGAGATACTAATAACCTGAGACTTCTTTAGGTATGCAGGATAGAATTTCAAAGCAATCAAAAGATCTATCTATTTCAATAGAATATAGAAGCAATCTATCTATTTCAAATAGAAATATACAAGTAGGAAATATAAATTCCAAATCAATAAAGGAGGTAGAAAAGGATAGAGTAAGAAATAAACAAACTCAATAAATCCAAAGGAAGGAAGAACAAGTAGCAAGAGAAGAATAGGGGGAGTGGGAATAGGATAAGAAAGATAACAAAAATAACTCAAGATGTGTCTGTAATCACAATAAACTAAAACTCTACGTGTGCTATTTAAAATACATTGTTAGATTGGATTTTTAAAAATCCAGCTCTGTGCTGCATATGGTATCATATCTAAACACTAAAACATAGATAGATTGAAAGACCACACAAACACTAATCAGAAGAAAGCTGGAGGCCAAATGCGGTGGCAGAAGCTGTAATCCAAGCACTTTGGGAGGACGAGGTGGGAGAACTGCTTTAAGCCAAGAGTTTGAGGCCAGCCTGGGCAACATAGCGAGACTCCCATCTCTACAATAAAAAATAATTAGCAGGCATGGTGGTGTGTGTCTATAGTTCCACCTACTCGGAGGCTGAGGTGGAAGGGTTACTTGAGTCAAGGAGTTTGAGGCTGCAGTAAGCCATGATCACACCACTGCACTCCAGCCTGGGTGACAGAATGAGCGAGATCCTGTCTCTAAAAAAAAAAAAAAAAAAAAAAAAAAAAATTAAGAAATTTTTAAAAAAAGAAAGCTGGGAGAGCTACACTAAAATCAGAATAAAAACAGACTTTAAGATGCAAAGCATCTTAAAAGGGGTAGAAAAGTTAGCTTTTTCTGGAAGGCACAGCAATTCTTAATCTACATGTAAAGTAGCCTCAAAAATTAGAAATTAGCAGTGTGGATCCTGACAAGCTAATTCTAAAATAACTTAGGCAAGCAAAGGCACAAGAATAGGCAAAACTGAGGAGAAAAACAAGGTGGGATAGCATGCCCTATCAGATATCAAGACTTATAAATATAATGTAATTGAGACAGAATGAGATTGACACAGTAGACCAATGGAATAGAATGAAGAGCCTCAAAATGAGTCACAAATATATGGCAATGTAATATATGTCACAGAGGTAGTATTGCAGATACATAATGCATTTTAAAATCTATATCTAGGACAATCTGAATAAGATCTGAAATCTGAATAAAATCTGTAGACTAGCTAATAATATTGTAGCAATAGTGACTTCCATACTGTGGTCATATGTAAGACAATGTCCTTGTTTTTTAGGAAACACGCAATGGAAGAACTTAGAGTGAAGGAAGATCACATACACGACTTACTGTCAAACAGTTCAGAAAAAAACTTTGTGTGTGAACACATGTATACACACACAGAAAGAGATAAAGCAAATTTGATACAATGTTGGTAACATTTCAAGGATTTGGGTGAGGGGTATACAGGAGTTTTCTCCCACTACTTTCTCCCACTAAATTCTTGCAAATTTTATATAACCTCAGTTATGTCAAAATTAAGCACTTAAAATCATATGTGTATATAGTTATATACACTTATAGGTAAGATTAAAAATTGCAATTAGAATTTTACAACGGTGTATATACATTATTCATCAATAAAAGTTTACCTTAAGAATTCAATCCAGGCCGGGCGCGGTGGCTCACGCCTGTAATCCCAGCACTTTGGGAGGCCGAGGCGGGCGGATCACAAGGTCAGGAGATCGAGACCACAGTGAAACCCCGTCTCTACTAAAATACAAAAAATTAGCCGGGCACGGTTGTGGGCGCCTGTAGTCCCAGCTACTCGGGAGGCTGAGGCAGGAGAATGGCGTGAACCCGGGAGGCGGAGCTTGCAGTGAGCTGAGATCCGGCCACTGCACTCCAGCCTGGGTGACAGAGCGAGACTCCGTCTCAAAAAAAAAAAAAAAAAAAAGAATTATGGTAGACTTCTTGTTGTTAACAATGTAAGCCAGAAGACAGTGGAATATACTTTTCAAACACTTTTTAAAAACAAAAACTGTCAACTAGAATCCTACACCAGTGAAAATATCTTCCAGAAATGAAGGTGAGTTCTTATGCTCATTAAGATGAAGTAATCCACTATACTCTATCCCTTTACTGATTGAAACTGAGAACTCTCAGGCCAGGCACAGTGGCTCACACCTGTAATCCCAGCACTTCGGGAGGCCAAAGCAGGTGGATCACTTTAGCTCAGTAGTTCAAGACCAGCCTGGGCAACATGGTAAAACACTGCCTCTACAACAATTACAAAATTAGCCAGGCGTGGTGGCACACACCTGTAGTCCCAGCTGCTTGGAGGCTGAGGTGGGAGCTTGAGCCCAGGAGGCACAGATTGCAGTCAGCCAAGATCGTGTCACTGAACTCCAGCTTGGGTAAGAGAGCAAGACTCTGTCTCAAAATTAAAAAAAAAAAACTCAGAACTGTTGAAAGAATATGAAAAGCAATTACCTGAGTGCTCTAAAGAGAAACAATAGAATGCAGATTAGGACCATAGTCAAACTAAATAAAATCTACAATAAAGATAACTTTGCATTTTTTCTCCCCTCTTTGGGGCACTTGGGAGGAGCTAAGGGTCTTCAGAGCCTGTAGCCAAGTTACCTGTAGCCAGTTTTCTGACAAGGATCTCTGTCAGCTGACTTCCTTGTACCATTTGCTCACAGAATCTCTGTCTCTGGTAGTAGGCAATGCCAGTGTTCCTGAGAAGGCCTCAAAGACTTGACTGTGTTCTTCACATGCTGGGTGAAAAGGTAGCAGACACCTCCCCCTTCCTGTATCCTCTGTTGTAAGTGGGTCAGTTCTTTAGCCTGAGCCTGAATTAAGGGATCATGTATCCTAAGGTGGGAAAGAAGAGTAAAATGTAAGAGGGAATGTAGTGAATAATAGGTTATAGAAGTTTCAGAGGAGAGATCTCTTAGAATCCCTGTAAAGAACTCCCAAGTTGAATTCTTTTTTTTCTTCTTCTTATTTTTTTTTTTGAGACAGAGTCTCACTCTGTTGCCCAGGCTGGAGTGCTGTGACATGATCTCAGCTCACTGCAACCTCCACCTCTGCCTCCACCTCCCAGGTTCAAACAATTCTCTTGCCTCAACCTTCCAAGTAGCTGGGACTACAGGTGCCCACCACATGCCAGCATAATTTATATATTTTTTGTAGAGATGGAGTTTTGTTATGTTGGCCAAGCTCATCTCGAACTCCTGACCTCAAGTGATCCACGCACCTTGGTCTCCCAAAGTGCTGGGATTACAGGCATGAGCCACTGCACCTGGCCCAAGATGAATTCTTGTACAAGTTGTGTGACTTGCCTTTGGCAGAAGGAATGAAGAAACAGCCTTTGGTTTGTCTGTTATTTTACTAACTTTGCTTTAAAAAGATGCTCCTTTGGTTCCCCACTTTAGCCTAAGTACATTTTCATATGATATATATCAAGCATTGCACAGTACTTGGCAAAAAAAAAAAAAAAAAGCCAGGTTCAAAAGTGTTGGGCAGGGATCTCTGGTATTAATTGAAAATTAAAAAGAAAAATCAGTGGAAAGGTCAAGAAGGACAGTATTATTTTGCATGACATGAAGATAGGCCATAATCAGTAAGTAGGCTGTTAAACCTAAAGTTCTGGCTGGGCACAGTGGCTCACGCCTGTAATCCCAGCACTTTGGGAGGCCAACGTGGGAGGATCACCTGAGGTCAGTTTTGAGACCAGCCTGGGCAATATGGCGAAACCCCATCTCTACTGAAAATGCAAAAATTAGCTGGCGTGTGCACCTGTACTCTCAGCTCCTTGGGAGGCTGACGTAGGAGTATTGCTTGAACCTGGGAGGTGGAGGTTGCAGTGAGCCAAGATCATGCCACTGTACTCTAGCCTGAACAACAGGGTAAGACTCCATCTCAAAAATAAAATAAAATAAAATAAAGTTCTGAGTAGTAATTTCATTACTCTGTGTGGGATTTCATTGTTTTATAATTATTGTATAAATATATCTCATGGTGATATGGTTTGGCTCTCTGTCCCCACCCAAATCTCATATTGGATTGTAATCCCCAGTGGTGGGGGAGGGACCTGTTGGATGGTGACTGGATCTTGGGGGCGAATTTCCCCTTGCTGTTCTCGTGATAGTGAGTGAGTTCTCATGAGGTCTGGTTTTTGAAAGTATAGCACCTCCCTCTTTGCTCTCTCTCTTTCTCCTGTTCTGGCCATGTGAAGACCATGCCTGCTTCCACTTCGACTTCCGCAATGATTGTAAGTTTCCTGAGGCCTGCCCAGAAGCAGAAGCCTGTACAGTCCACAGAACCATGAGCCGATTAAACCTCTTTTCTTTATAAATCACCCAGTCTCAGATGCGTGTTTATAGCAGTGTGAGAATGGACTAATACACGTGGGTTCCAACGTGGAGTGTGAGCTCTGTGAGTCTAAGGACAGTGCCACCTATGACCCAACTTACAGCACCCGGTAGTATGTACACATACAAGTAGTTATTCAGTTAATGTTTAGAACCATGTAGTCCCAGAGCTGGACTGAACATTTACAGTCATCTACCCCATCTCATGCTCGAGTTTTCTCCCTGATATTCTTCTAAGTAGTTATCCTCAGGTCCTCTTTCAAACTCTATTCCTTAGAGTTACTAGAAAGTGTCAGGGGAAGTAAAGACACATACTGGTCCCCCCTTCAATCAACTATCTCTGCTTTGGTGAGTTTTACACATTTGAGCTTCTATGATTTCATTTCAACAAAGCATTAAAAGAAGTTTCAAATGCTACAATCTACCTTATGCCTGAAACCCTCTAAGGATAGTCAATGCTGGTCCTGAGCAAATAATTCATTTTCTAAACAACAGCTGCTCAATCATCTATCTATCCCATAGCCCTAGCAGTTAATACTCCACCTAGTATAACACTTTTTTAAAAGGTTTGGAGGAGAAACATTCTTATCATGAAAGGCACTTTGTAAAGTTTGAAAATAGCTCTTACAGAAAATGTTAATGACAATCACCACATCTATAAATGGGAACAAATATAATAGTAACAGAAAACAGTTGTTCAGAGTTTTTTATGTGTTAGAGATGGTTCTAACTACTTGCAATTGTGCATTTAATCTTCATAACCCTCTAAGGTATATACTGTCAGTATTTCCATTTTATAAATGAGGTAGCCTAGGTTGATGACATGCAGAAAAGTGAAGTAAATTTGACCAAGGACACACAGATAGAAGCCACATTGCTAGTATTCCAACACAGGCAGTTGTCTCCCTTTTACTAATATGCTATTTAATGGAAAACCCTAGACACCTAACTGGACCATAGCCTCATTGTGTCTTAGTCTAGTTCTGTGCCTGCCTCGTACATTTCTGCCCTTCTCCATGCACAAATTTTCTCTTTGTTCTACCAGCTTGGGCTGCCCCACTTCAAACAGTATTTATACACTTCCCACAGAGGTACCTCCTTACCGGAGCCTTGCAGAAACTGAAACTGCAGCTCCTCCTCCAGCACAGATTTTATAAGGTCTTTGCACTCTTCACACTCTGAGAAAAGACGGACATGCCTGCATCACGGAAGGCCAGATGTGCTACTGTGGTCACTGCCTGCAGGACAGGAGGCAGGGTCTATCTCAAGGATAAAAGCATCCCAGTACGAGGCTTTACACTGGGATTTCCATATCTTTATTCCTCAGTCTCTCAACTACTCCCCATTTTAGAGATGAGGAAAGAAAAGCCCACAGGCGGATAAAATAACTTGACAAGATGATTCAACTGGAATTCACATCCCCTGAGGTTTGACTTCAAATCCTTTTTTTTCTTTTGAGATGGAATCTCACTTTGTTGTCCAGGCTGGATTGCAATGGCACGATCTTGGCTCACTGCAACCTCTGATTCCCGGGTTATTCTCCTGCCTCAGCCTCCCAGGGAGCTGAGATTACAAGTGTATTCCACCATTTCCAGCTAGTTTTTGCATTTTCAGTAGAGGCAGAGCTTCACCATGTTGGCCAGGCTGCTCTCAAACTCCTGACCTCAAATGATCCACCCACCTTGGCTTCCCAAATTGCTGGGATTACAGTAAGTGTGCCAATGCGCCCGGCCATGACTTCAAATCTTAAGGCCAATTTACCAAGCCTTACAGCCTCTTAAGTAAAACATGAACATGAGGGCATGAAATAATGGCTTCCTGTGTGTTTGGGAGGATACTAAGAACTATAGGACTGATATTTCTCCTGTTTCAAGAGTTTCAATAATCCAAAATATTTCAAAGATTTAAACATTTATCTGTATACACTGTGTAAAACTGCATATGGAGGAGAACGATCCAAATGATATATGCCCAATGCTAATAGGTGGTGTTTTAAAGGAGAACCAACACGTAGTGTTTGTCATGGTACTGTTGCAGTAGATTTTTAAGAATTATCATCATGTGATCATCACCACTATCCAAAGAGGTAGTTACTACTCTATTACCATTACAGATGAGGAAACTGAGGCACAGTGACAATAAGTTAGATTTGAACCCAGGAAATTTGGCCCTAGGGCATATGCTCTTTAATTACTACACAATAATACCTTTATACTAAGGTCTTAGGTAATATTTTTCTTCTTCTCTAGCTTGAGAAATTTTTTTCCTACAATTATAATGAATGAAGTTTATTTTTTTTAATTAGTTTTTCCACACACCAAAGCTCATCTTATCCCTTCTTTAATAAGTGGGCTTTTGGCTTTACTTTTCTATGACAGTAAGTTAGACAGCAACTTTTAGCCACCTCCCACGCAATGATTTATTTTAAAATAATTGTGGAAATTGGAAAGCAAACTCAATTTCAATGTTAACCAGAATCCTCTTCTTGTTCCCATGTTTCCTTGTCATTACAGCTTCCCCCTTCCCTGACTATTAGTAACAGGTTTGGAGTTTTACAGTGGATTTCCAAATGTGAGAGCTGACTGTGGAGAGGAAAGGGTCAGCCCCTAACCTGGCCTGGCCTTCTACTGAGAACGGCGGTCTGCTCCACTTGGCCTTGTTCTCATTTTGGCCATATGTCTCATAGCTCTGATCCTGGACGTCCACCTGCAGTTGTTTGCTGTCTGTAAAGCTGATACTCAGAGAGAGACAGAAAGGGTGTTACAAAGTCTCTGATTTTCTGGAAATACCCTCAATCTAACCAGAGCATGAGGAATGGCTTATTTGAACTTATTTGAACTTCTGTGGGAAGAGAATCTTGATCCAGGTATCATAAAGACTTTTCTCCGTGTCTGCTATTGAAGTTCGCACCTCCACATATCTGTGACTCAGTTGAGAATAGGTAGTTTTAAGTTCCTTCAAGGCAGATAAGGTATATACTATTACCTCTTTCACCCCTGGCGCAGTGCTTTGCAAATGGGTGTTCTTTAAAAAGTTTAAATTGAATCCTGAGCTGTTTTAGCCAACAGTGATGTTACATGTTTGTAGAAGCTGATACTCATTGCTGAGAAGGGAAAGACAGTTTCATGCCTAAACCAAGGTTTTGGTCTCTATTCCTCACTACACTCACCCTGCAAACTTTACACCTTTGTGCCTCAGTTGTTCTGTCCTTGGCAAATTGAGAGTAAAATGCCCACTTCTACCTTTTTGGGAGGGTAGTTAGGATAAAATTAATTGTGATAGAGAATAAAGTCTGCAGTGTTTCATTTCACAGAGGAAAATGGACAATCATTTATCACTTTGGTGACCATGCCCCTATGGGACCTACTGTATTTCTGCAGGTGATTGGCCAGGGAGTAGGCAGTAGCTTTGGATGTCAGGAATTTCTCTGTGAGGTCTCGGAAGTTCTGTTTGCATTTTTCCAGTTCAGAGCGCAAGTACTGATTGGTTTCTAGGATGCTCATTTCTGCGTTTGGACCAAAACAAGTGGTGGGAGATACGGCCATGCTGAAGCTTGTGGAGGAAGTGGAATCAGAGCCTAGGGAGAATAAACCCAAACAAATAATACATTAAAAACAAATGCATGGATTATAGTAATGGTTGCACTACTTGGGTAAATTACTAAAATTATTGAACTGTACAATTATAATGGGTAAATTTTATAGTATGTAAATTACACCCCAATAAAGTTTCTTTACATTAAACAAAGGATTTAAATGAGTTAAAAGAAAGCAGATCTGATTCATAACTTACTTTTGGGATAAACTTTGTCAGCATCCCACAACTCTGAGAATCCTCAGCCACAAAAACAAGGCACAAGGTGCCTGAGCTTAGAGTCTAAGGTACTGTCTGTGGTTCAGGCTCTGATAGGAATGCCAGAGGTAAGACCCAGTGCCAGGTAACAGTCTGGAGTCACAATAACAGAATTAGAAGGTGGGAGTGTCATGGAATGTTAGGATCTCTGCCTTCCAGATGTCTAGGCCATGTGGAAACACAAGGTATCTTCTGAGGGTCACCACCAATGGAGACCACTCCCTCAGCAGTCATTCTCAGTACTTGTATACTCTTGTGACAATACCACAGGCCTATCTCTTTCTAAAATTTAACCATATTTTCATTGTTTATTATTGCAAATGCATAGACAACATCAAGGAATACATATTTCCCCAAGTTCTATCGTTGTCTTAAGGACTGTCATGAAGTCATTTTCTTCCTAATGAAAAACTTAACACTTTTAGATAGTCTTGTCGTCCTTCTTTGGTTCTCCAGTTTTCCACATCATTTATAAGAAAAACAATACTGAATATTCGGCTCAGAGTGTGAATAATTGATTTATATGGATTTAGAGGCCAGGTGCAGTGGTTCACACCTGTAATCCCACCACTTTGGGAGACCAAGGTGGTTGGATCACTTGAGCTCAGGAGTTTGAGACCAAACTGCGCAGCATGGTAAAACCCTGCCTCTACAAAAAATCGTTAAAAATTAGCCAGGCGGCCGGGCGCGGTGGCTCAAGCCTGTAATCCCAGCACTTTGGGAGGCCGAGGCGGGTGGATCACGAGGTCAGGAGATCGAGACCATCCTGGCTAACATGATGAAACCCCGTCTCTACTAAAAATACAAAAAACTAGCCGGGCGTGGTGGCGGGCGCCTGTAGTCCCAGCTACTCGGAGGCTGAGGCGGGAGAATGGCGTGAACCCGGGAGGTGGAGCTTGCAGTGAGCCGATATCGCGCCACTGCACTCCAGCCTGGGCGACAGAGCGAGACTCCGTCTCAAAAAAAAAAAAAAAAAAAAAAAATAGCCAGGCATAGTGGCACATGCCTGTAGTCCCAGCTATTCAGGAGACTGAGGTGGGAGGATCACTAGGGTCCAGGAATTTGCTGCTGCAGTGAACAAAGATCACGCCACTGTACTCCATTCTGGATTACAAAGTGAGACCCTGTATCAAAGAATAAAAACAAAATAAGTAATAAAAGGATTCTGGTCAATGTCTTAATATACTTCTTGCTGCAAACCAATTTTATACTGTCATCTTTTCTCCCACTGGGGAAGCATGTTAGTTTCTTTTTTCTGTTTGTTTGTCTGTTTGTTTGTTTTGAGATGGAGTCCCGCTCTGTCACCCAGGCTGGAGTGCAGGGGCACGATCTCGGCTCATTGCAAGCTCCGCCTCCCGGGTTCACGCCGTTCTCCTGCCTCAGCCTCCCAGGTAGCTGGGACTACAGGCGCCCGCCACTACGCTCAGTTAATTTTTTGTATTTTTAGTAGAAACGGGGTTTCACCATGTTAGCCAGGATGGTCTCGATCTCCTGACCTTGTGATCTGCCCACCTCGGCCTCCCAAAGTGCTGGGATTACAGGCGTGAGCCACCATGCCCGGCCCCCATTTGTTTGTTTTTTTATAGACAGGGTCTAGCTCTACTGCTCAACCTGGAGTGTGATGGCGTGATCGCAGCTCACTGCAGCCTCAAACTCCTAGGCTCAAGGGATCCTCCTGCCTCAGCCTCCTGAATAGCTGGGACTACAGGCACGTGTCACCACCCTCAGCTATTGTGTGTGTGTGTGTGTGTGTGTGTGTGTGTGTGTAGACAGGATCTCACTATGTTGCCCAGGCTGGTCTCAAACTCCTGGGCCTAAGTTATTCTCACACCTTGGCCTCCAAAAGTATTGGAATTACAGGTTTAAGCCACCACACCTGGCCCATGTTGGCTTTTCACTTAACTTGAGGACGTTTGATATTCATAACTCCTAACCCCACTCTCCTCTTCTATGTGTGGGGTGCTTTGTGTTATCATCTCTATATACATATTTTGTGCTTGTCACTTATGATTTTCATTCTAACTCCACAGGTTTTTTTTTTCCAATTTGTCGTAATCACTGAAATAATTTATGTATATCTCTTTGAATACATGTAGTGGCCGCCTAATTTGGAATGACTTACAAACTGTTAGAATATGTTTGAAGCAGTTTTTATGGAACACTAATGATTTGCATTGAGCCAAAGCCATTGGCCTGAGGATATATTCTCAGACAGAGCATGGTAAAAATCAAGGTCATGAGTCTGTGGTGGTTGGTGGTGATCAACAGCATTCCTGTGCAATGGGGTTTAGTGGGATAGAAACTGAGGTTTTAAAGACAGGCATAGATAGACAGAAGAGAAGTGATCCCTGATGTACCTCTTCACTTCCTATGTATCAATTCCTCCCTAGTTTTGTGAGACTGAGATAGGGAGACTCTTATGGAATAGCTGTCCTTTCCCTTCAGCTGCCTGACTTTCCTGGGCTACTGGCCTACACATGTGTAACCATGGTCACCTCCACATTCATGACAAACAGAAGGAAGCAGGACCAACAAACTGCCTACCCTACATGCTAACCTGAAACTATAGTGTGTGATAGTATTAGTTTTGAGATATATCAGAAACTATATGATTTTAGTCCTTTTAAATTTATTAAGATTTATTTTAAGGGCTAGCATATGGTCTATTCTATAGAATGTCCCATGTGTACTTGAGAGGAAGTGTATTCTGTTTTGTTGAGTGGATTATTCTATAGATATCTGGTAGGTTATATTGTTTAAATCTTTTATTTCTTTATTGATCTTCTGCCTAGTTGCTCTATCCATCATTGAAAGTTGTGGTATTAAAGTCTCCATCTACTGTTGTTAAATTGTTTATTTCTCCCTTCTGTTTAGTCAGCTTTTGCTTCCTGTGTTTCCAGCCTCTGTTAGATGCATGTGTATTTATAATTGTACTCTCTTCCTGATAGATTAACCCTTGTATCATTACAAAATATCCCTCATTGTCTTTGGTAACTTTTTTGCCTTAAAGTCTCTTGTTTATTTTGTCTGGTATAAGGATAGTTGTTACTGAAGCACCAGAGGTTTAAGTCTTGCTGCTCACTGCACAGAAAGCCAATCACTCAGTCTACTAGTATTGCCAGGGCAGAAGGCTTTCATCAGGTACTGCAACTTAGGAAATGGGAGCTCAGTCTCAAATCCATCTTCCCGAACAATGAAAAGTCGGGGTTTAGATAGCAGGGAAGAAATGTAACTACATGCAGAAAAACAGGAATTAGGGAGAGGTAAGAAAGAGGAATTGGTCAACAGGAAGCAGGTGGCCACTTAGGCATTTATGATGGGGTGAGGGGTCTGACATCTTATTGTGCAGATGTGGTACTCTGGTAAATTTCAGTTCTTCGCTGCTATCTGGAAGGCTCATGGTTGGTTTCCTGAGAAAGGAACTCACATAATACAAATGTAACTTTCTCAAATTTCAAGACTTGAGAGGGTCAATTTCTATGTTTATTCAAAAGAAACTGTAAACATCAGTTCCATGGGACAACTGGGTTGGTTTAAAAGTCACTTCAGCTTTCTCATGGTTGCTAATTACATAATTATGTTACATTGTATGTCAAAGGGATTTTGCAGACACAATTAAATTAACCTTAAAATAGGGAGATAAGGCAGATTGACTTATCTAATCACATGTGCCTTTAAAGTCTGGGTCTAGAGGTCAGAGGTCAGCAATCTAGCAAGTCAGAGAGATCCAAAACATGCTAGTGATTCAATGAGGAAGAAACTCTTCATTGCTGACTTTGAAGATGGTGAGTGTCACAAATAAATAAAGTCCTCAGTCCAACAACTTCATAATTAGTGCTACCTGCAAATATGAGCTAACAATACTTTTAAATGCATTTACAATATGTGGTGAACAGATTCACATTGTCTCTGCCTGCTCTTCTCTTTCGCTTTGTCCCTGCATGCTACTATGTCTGTCTAGATGGGGGGACACAAACACCAGGGCTTTGTGCAGCCTTCTCTCTTCTCTTGGAATGCTATGGCTCTCTAGAACCAGATAGCACTGCTGAAGGTGGTTGAGTACAGGCAACTGATGGTGTTAGAAGCCATAGGCCCTTGATTAATCCAGGCTCTAACCTTCACTCACCTCAAAGTCCTAAGAGTCCTCCTTATAGCTTCCTATCAGATTTATACAGATTATTACCCACAAACCTTGCTCTTTCTTGGACCCCTAAGGCCAGGACTTCTAATATCTTCATCACTTTTGAGGTATCTAGTAACTCTTCTTTCTGGAGTTTCAGTTACTTCATCACCACTGCCGAGTGAAAAGTTACCAGATGACCAGCCCAAAGCCTCATATGCAAGTCAGGACTAAACAGTAGCTGGATGGTATTTTGTCTAGATCAGCCATGGGTGTTGTCAAATGTGACAAGAATATTATTTCTAAAAGTTCTACACTACAGAAACACACTAGAACTTACTTCCCATATTAAAAGACAACCTGGAGGAGTGGCTTTTATATCTCAGGCCAAGCATTAATCTTTCCAGGATTACAACTTGGCTCCCAAAGTTGCCAAGCTATTGCTTAGACAAATTATTTAATCTCCGTTATACCAAAATTATTG